ATACAAATTTTTAAAAAATCTAAAACTAAATGATGGTTTAAAATAGCGGTTACATGTGATAGGAATAAAAATAAAGTTGGTTAACCTTATATATCTTAAATAATTAATAAATTTTTTAAAAGAATAATAATTAAATTAAATATTTCATTAAAATATTTATCAAAATAAGACAAAAGAAATATAACTTTATTTTTTTATGTAATTTACCAAAATATTTTTAAATTCTTTATATTTGCGTTTTGAACCTAAATATATTAAAAAATAATAACGGTATAATACTACAAAATTAATTATAAGATCAATAATAATTCTAAATAATTAATGAATAATCTAAAAGTAAAATATTTAATAATTTGAGATTAATATGAACTAATTATTAATAATAGTTAATCATAAACCATAATGGTGATGCCTGAATGGTTTGAGCTTGACTCCAAAGATCAAAAGTACCAGGAGATCCCAGGTTCAAATACAAGGAGAAACAAAAATCCCCTTGTGACCACGAAAGTTCAAATGTGGTGACTCCGGGCTATCTGCAAAGCAGGTGGTCGCACTGGGATTAGTCGGCTCGCATAACGGATTGGATATTCAGGTTAATAAAAAAAATAGTTAATAATAATAGTTTACAATTAAAATTAATAAAGATTGAAATTAATATTATTCAGTAATTTATAATTAATATTTATTAGTAATTAAATAATAATTAATATTAATCAAGAGAATAATTTGAATAAAAAGTGATAAAGGAACTTTTGAAATTTATTGAAACACTACTCCAAATAACGTTTTAGTAAGTTAGCTTAGAGCATTTCAAACAGATTCTTCAAAATTTATCTAGAAAATGAAAATTTCAAATCTTTAAAACAAAAATGCATTGAACTCCAATAATTATAGGTTACAACATTGATTGTATTACTAAAATATTTCATGCATCTATTAAAATATTATTTCTCCCCTAAAGTATAATTTCAAAGTTTCTTATGTACGATAATATATTTCAAAAATATTTTTGTTTTATAGTAATAATTTTTTAGGAGTTCTCAAATTTGGATAATTTCATACTTTATGTTCTTGTTTCTTCGTTAAGAGACATACTTTTATTTTTATCAAACAAGATTCACCTTTTAGCGATTTAAAAACTGTCTCTTAATAAAACTATTATGAGGTAAACAAACAACCTCTTAGTTTGCTAAACACTGCAAAATAAAGAATTGAAGATAAAAAAGATTTCAGAAAAATGATTGGTAAAAAGCAAGGTGTAAGAGTAATTGCAAACAACAGTTAAGTTTTAAGTAGTCGATGAATTCAAACAACATTTATTACTAAAGTGACTTGATTATTGTACATAGGTATGGGTCGTGTGACCTACTTGTCAGTGCCTTCACATTTAATGTATCATGCTCGACATATGGTATTCCACCTCCAAAACTCATACCACACTTGGGCCATCACCAAAACGTTTTAATCTTGTATCACTCACAACACCTATCTTATTCTAAGTTGTAGCAATAAAAACGCATTACATGCCTATTGACTTATACAATTTCATCTCCCCAGTATGTTAGCCTCGAGTGCTTAGTCTTCCATCGATCATTGTCATGTCATTGTCTTCAACATCATGTCTCCTGGTCTCCCCTTGATCCATAGCTTGGTGCCAAATTCGTGGCTGGATTTCGATGACCCTCCTGCAGCCACTTGTGGTTGTGGAGGATTCTACAAAAAAACTTCCGTTAGAGACCCAAAATTTTCTCTTCGCCAAGATATTGATCTTGAATGGAATTTAGCATGAAATGATGTTAAAAATCAATCCCAATGATCCATCTAAAAGATTTTACTCTAAAAATCTGCATAGATATGCTTGAGTGCACCCTTTATCCCGTTGTGCACACTCAATCTTCTTGCTATTGCACCCTTTGTGCGACCGTGTTGATTTGACCACCTTATTTGTGATGTTTACTTCCAAGTTTGGTCCATTTGCTTAGTTCGTTGTGTTTTATTTTTGGGTTAAACATATTTTCACTTGTTAATCATACATTCAAAGCATCTCAAACCCACATATGAGCATCAGCCTGATGGAAGTTATTATAAGAACCTTATTTTTGTTTTTTTTTTTGCATTGGATATCATTTATTTCAGATTTAATAACGAAGTAATTTTTTTTGTTTAGTAATATAATTTTTTATAAAGATAATAATTAATTATTTAGTTAGAATTCAATTATTCTAATTATATTTTTAGACTTTTTAATATTTAATGAGATGTATCTCCTGTATTTGGTTATGTTTATCCGCTGTTAGTTACACGAATTCAAAAATAGAGTTTTGATAAGTTATACTTACGTACAATTTTCTTGCAATCTTGAATTGTAATTAATATGTATCAATAAACAATACTTTATATATAAAAAATGGTTTTTAATAGTTTTTATTAAATATTTTATAATATAATATAGATGATTGATTAAAGACATGTAATAGCAGACTATAACTATATCTAATCACAAAGTTATCAATCAATACCACAATTAAAATGGTAACTATAGTCTATAGCTATTGATGTGATGACCCAAACCAAAATATGGATTGAAAATGACAACACCAAAATTTGGTTCACCACTCACCAACACCATATTGATTATCCGACAGCAACGAAGTAGCCCCAAATCTTTTAGGAGCACCACCGTAAGTCACTACACACAACTGAAACTGATTAATTATAGACCAAAAGCCCAGCAGTAGAAACAGGTCACTAAAAAGGCCCAACCTTCTCATACCAAGTTAGTGAAACCCACCAGCCACAATAAAACCATTGAAAAAATTGATCAAAAATCACCAAAATCCAGCAGCCATCGATGGACACACTAGCATGAACTATATTGATCTTCATCGACTCGACAGTCTTTGTAGTTAAAAGCTTCCAAACCAAGATAGAGAACCAAGATTTCAAAGCCAACATAAAAGAAAAATCCAGCCAATAAGAGAGTAACTTTAAGACAACTCGCAACTAGAAACCAAGTTAGAGAACCAAGATTTCCAAGGCCAACACAAAAGAAAAAGCCATTTATCTAAAAACCCAATAGTTATATGCTTTTGCATCCATCCCCGCCAAACAATGAAATTTAGATAACCACCAACAAATTGAGCCACAGAGATCCCCGCGCCATTGACAACAATGAATTGGACATAGCTAAGAGGCCTTGAACCAGCATCATTATGTAACCCTCATTCTCACCCTTATTAGTTCACAGTAGTAGATTGGTTCTATCCATTCTTATGGCAGCAAATTCAACTTTTAAGAGCCAAAAAACGGTCTTAATCAGCTCCCATGCAACTCGGATACAAAACTATCACCCAACCACTAACCATCAAAACACTCCACATGTGAACATGATATTCCTTCTATCTATACCATCATACCCCCATCCATATGAAAATTTCACACAGTGGCTGCCCCAGGAATCTCTGCTCACCTTTCTTTATCTTCAACCCCATAAGCTTTAATCTAAAACATTCTTTTATCTGTTTGCAAAGCACCTCTTCACATCTTTTATTCCCCTGGAATAGTCTTGAGTTCTTTCTTGCCATATGAAATAAATAACAGCAGCCACCATAAGTCTTTGATTAATGCTCCATATCCTTTGTTACAATCTATTGTGAGAATACTAGATCCCATGGCATTTAGAATATCATCCAGCCTAGCTAGACCCATAAGACCAGTCCATGTATTTTTAGCATAAGCACAGTCAATAAAGAGACTAGTGTGAGAATCTCTTAACAGAATTGCACGGAAAACATAATATGCCTTTTTCCACAATCCATGCTTCCAAACGATCTTGTGTCTTAAGTTTCTCCTTGATGGCCAACCAGAAAATAAAAGCATGTTTTGGAATGCATTGAGAATACCAAACCAGCTCCATGACGAATTGAAATATTATCCCCATCTCCAATCTCATGAATAATATGATCCCTGGAGATGCTCCTGATTCTCACAAATTTCCTCCAACTCCATGACGAATTGAAACCTTCCTGAACATCCGAAAAAGTTTCTTCCCATGAGTCTATAGGTGTGAATCCACTTAACCCAAAGGGACTTTTTCTCATCCACCAGGTTCGAACATGTTTTGCAAGCAAAGCTTTGTTCCACTCTGGTAAAGAACGAGTGCCCAGCCCTCCTTGTTTCTTCACATAACACATATCTGTCCACAATATTTCCCAAGTACGAGGTGCTCTTCCCCATATTTGGCTTTAGACCCGAGACCCCACTAAACTCCATTAGAGCCTCCTTCAAAATTCTCGCTGATTAAGGATTGCAAACATTGGCAACAACACTTAGCCGTTATTCACAAGGATTTTTGGAATGCTACAGCTATTTATCTAGCCAAAAAATTGTCATGATATATTGTGATACAAAAACAAACCCGAGTGTAGTGACATGTTGTACGCGTGTGCCCCCGATTGCCCGAGGTTCTGAGGTTCTCCAGTACATCCTCGATCCCACCAAATTTATGTTCAAAAGTTTGTGAACTTGCTTATTTGGTTAATTGTGTAGATATAGATACTTTATACACCATGTATTTTCAAGTTTATGTGGTCAGATCACGTTCGGTGAAGTTTAGCCAAGTAAATATATTGTAACACTTTAAGAGAAAACATTATTTGGTTTGATTCTATAAACTTAAACCCTGTAATGTCTTTTAGTAGGATGTTTAAACATTTTAGACGTCCTATAAAACCAATTTTGTAGTGATGGTTATTTCATATTTGTGGTTATGCTTAAACTTGAATCTTAGTATTCCTGGACCTACGAAATCGTTGTAGTTTGTTCAATGAGCCTCGTAAACCCTTGCATAAAGCACTTATGCATCTCAAATTGAGGCAAGATTGCAATTTGTTTCTACTTGTATCAATCATCTCAACAGTCGTAACGATATAATTTCTTTGGAAGACCCAAAACAAGAAACTTTTGCATACACAGAACTTTAGGTAAATGTAGTAAAAAGAAAGCGAGAAAGGACACCAAATCTTATTTTGCCAACCTAAACAAGGGATTATGATGACAGAGACAGGTTATATGATAACTTAAGGAGATCGGCCTCCGTACTACTCGCAACATATGCAGTCTCCAAACTTATTCTGACCACAACAACCTCCGCGGCAACTGCTCGCACCTGCAGGTGTTGGGCCACTTCCTTCTGTTCTCGATGATCCTCCACTTCCACCTCCACCTCCACCATCACCACACCCAGGTATTTCACTCTGTACTGCTGAATTGCAATCTGTAGCTGCTACAATCAAAATTCAAACTATTTAATTAATATTTATCAAAAGAATCCGGAAACTTGCAACTTATTTGTGAAACTTCCTTTACACCCAATGTATTAATCAACCAACATATACAAACGCAAGATATAATAGACTACAAAATTTATATATTTCAATTAAATGTTGGAAATATGTTAAAAAACGAACCAAGTTGGTGAGCACGAGTACCTGGGGTTTGGGCATCAACCAACGGTATGGTGTGTGAAAAGGAGCCAAGGATGATGATAGTAATGAGAGCCAAGGCAAGTAGTACTCCTCCTCCTTTCAAGATTGAGGCCATGTTTGCAATGCATGAGTGAATCTGATCATGTTTAAGTAGTTTCAATTTATAGCATACAAGTATCAGCAGTATTTAATATTCATGCGGTTGTTTAGAATTAAACAGATGATTATCGACGTTGATAAAGGAAATTAATAGGAAGGAAAAGAGTATGGTAGTAGTTAATTACCGCAAAGACATCTTCTCGTTTGATGATATCATAGCCTCCTGTCATCCAACACGCCTCCCTCTTATGGTCATTGATGGTTAAGTTTCATCATATTTAAAACTAGGATTAACTTTTGTAACACATTTTTTTATCAAAATAATACAATATAATTTGATTTTGTTAGTTTAAAATAATATAATTTTGTTTATATAACCAATTTTACCAATTCAATTGAAGACCAAAAAAATATTATTAATTAAATAACAAACAACTTCTTGAAAATTTCAATTTAGATATATTTAGGGGGTCGTTTATTAAGTACTCAATTACCAATCAAGTAAGCGCTTACTAACAATAATCATCATCCTTACTTTATCGGGTAACATTTTTAGTTCTTAAAATGGATTTTTGATAAACACTTATCGGGTAAGAGTCTTTGATCATTGTCATTTCCATCCGTTATGGCAAGTGACATCAGATAAATACTTATCCAGTAAACACTTGATTAACAACCCTTAATTTTTTTTTGTTATGGTTGGGTCATTAAACTTTACAATTTGTTTCAATAAGACTTAAATATTCGGTTGTTATATTAGTTCTGAAGCTAGTTTTGCAAATTCTTCAACAATTGAAATGTAACTTATAATTCAAGATGTGATGGTGCTCCATAACAAATTTACAACCTTAGAGGGTATACTTGATACACGGGCATGACTTAGATAAAATAGACTCATGAAAATAGGTGGAAAAATATCAGCAGTATGAAACAAGATTGGTAAACTGCTCACTCAAATGTCACTCAATTCATTTCTTTCATTCATCTCTCTCACTCTTTTCCATCTAGTTTTTTCAAAATTTATCTTACCAATGAACAATATTTTGTGTTTAAGAATATGTTTTAAGAATTTTTATCAAATATTTTATAATATAATATAGATAAATAACTTGAATAACCAAAATGAAAGTTATTTTTCTATTTATTTAATGAATTTTGTTTATTAAAATTGTCTCTTTTAACTACTCTGGATAAAATGTCAAACAAAAAACTAATTTTTAACTTTGTGTAATTATATATACATTTCTAGTGACATCAAATTGTTAATTCAAACATATCTAAGGGTTGTTTGATTGTTCCTTAATGAGCTTTATAGCCTATATGACTTATTCGGTCAACAATAAATAAGTGTTTGGTTGTGGTTTATTCACTAAGCCGATGATTTAATCGGTTAGTTAGAAACCATTACTCCTTTACACTCAACCATTTAATTTCTCCAACTACCTTCGCAATAAAAAAAACCATATTCTAAAAGGCACTCTGGTTCACGCTTCCAATATCAATTTCTACTTCAAACAACTTCTTCAAACCTCTGTGTCTCCACAGTTTCTCACCAAGGTTTTTTATTTCTCCTTATGGTTTGCTCTTCTAGGTTTTCGATTTCCTTGTTTTGATGGTTTTCGATTAGATGTGGTTTCTCTATATGGTTCTACTATAATTTGTTTGTTATTTTTTTATCGAATTGGAATTGTTTAGGGATTGATCGAAGTGGGTTCTGATTGAAAACTGTTTTTTGAGAGATTGAAAGAAAGCGTCAAGGAGAAGAATGATGACTGCTTTGGGGGATTTTCTTGGCTCTAGTTAAGCGTTTATTAGTCTTTATTTGGTGAGTGAGCAGAAACTGAAATATCCCTAAAGTTGTCTTCAATTTCGGTGATTAGAACATTAAACTCATATTATTATGTTAAATCAAGTTATTTTTATTTAAGAAAGTTTACATTTTGATATTTTCTTTATAATTAAAAGTCATTTATTCAACATTTTTATCAAACAGTTGTTTTTTCCAAACAAAAATAAGACTGGGGGTAAAATGGTCATTTTCGACATTCAAACTGTTTATTCAACACAACAACGAACAATAACTTATTTATTATTATACCGACAACCTTATTAATACAATCAGCTTTATTTATACACGTTTTAATAAAAAATGAACCAAACAACCCTAATTCTCTTTGACTAAATGTTAAAAAAGCCTTCGACTCTTGTATCAAATTAAAGGAAGAATCCTACCCGTGAATTAAGATTATATCTAAACAATATAAAAGGAAAAGAGAAGAAACATGGAATTAGTGAGGGGTTATATTTGTCATTTATAGATATAAAGTTTTTATTTAAATCCATGGTTAAAAAAATAGTTTTATATTTATAAAAAATCATAGATTTATTAAAATCTCATTTAATGTTATAAACATAAAAACTCTTGGATTTATCAAATATACATTGAATGTTGACTAATAATTGAAATAAGAGTCGACCATTTTGGGAAATCCATGAGATTTAATATCAATCACAAACTAATTTAAATTATGAGTTAAATTAACAATTTTAGTAATTTTGGCAAACAAAACATCCATAGGGGCATTATGGTATTTTCAAGTCTCTCTCATCCCTACGGCCTATCCTTGAGAATACTTGTGAACAAAAGCACAATGTGAATCATTATCAAATATATTGTTTCAATTGAACATTGTGACCACATGTTATTATAGCATGTTGTGACCACTTTGTGAAAACAACGTGAACACAAAATCACCAAGAACAAAACTTATCTCCATATGAAATTGATCTGCTTCTATTTGTTCATTCCTACGCTAGCCCGAGACAACAAAACTTATCTCCATGTTTTCAACTTTTGCACTTCCATCTTTAATAGTAAGATCCTGATGGGACAAGTGTAGTACATGGTACAAATGTTTTGTGATATCAAATAAAATCTTAATATTTTTGTTATTTAGGTAAAAAATTGATTACCGTCAACTCTAACAGGCCCCACATGGAGCACATATCCAAGAACACCAATATGAGGGATAGTTTTTAGCTCATTAGGCGTCTTAGGCTAGCTGGCCCCATAACCTGTCTTGTATTTGGGCAAAGTCATACCGTTCTAATGCCAAATGAGCTACATGTCAGATGTATTTTTATTATTTATGAAAACAACACCATTTCAGTCAATGAACTTGGACGTTACAAATTTTAAAATGAGTGAGAATCCCAATTATTTTTCATATAGCAAATTGAGTTACATCCATGATCTTTAGTCCAGATTCACAAGAAGTAAGAGGGTAAATATGGGATTTGCAACCCAAGCTTCCAATTCATGAAAGATGAACAACAATAAATCACATATTCGTCGGAGATGTAACAATCGTTCCATATTTATCCGATTTTCAACCTTCTTCGGGAGTCGGAATCTACATCAAAAGATGTTGAACATAAAAAGAAAAACAAAATGAAAACAAGATCCAATGTATGATGGGTTTGAATCATAATCTGGTTCCAATAGAGAAGATGAGAGGTCTTTAGAGTTAAACGAACAAAGAGCTAACGACCATTTGATGACACCTTAAAAAACAATAATTGATAATGCCAATTCTTTATAAGGTTAGAACCTTATGAAGCTTCGTAAATCGTAAATGAAGCTCTATCGTAAATATTAGTAATTGCAATGCTTGTTAATTAAGTACATTGTCTGAAAGTAGGGTAACTTGTATCAAAGTTGAACGTATGGATTCCTATTTTTTTTATTTTAGAAAACTCATTTTTTGAAAAAGGGAAAAGTTCAGAAAAATCTAAGAAACTATTCTGTTTTGAATGATTAAGTCTCTGAACTATTTTTTTAAATTAAAAGCTATTAAACATTTTTATTTGAAACGATTAAGTCCCCGAATTATTATTTTATATGAAAAAAACCATTAAACTTTCTTATTTTGAATAATTAATTCCTAAACATTTTTCGATAAAAATAAATCATTTAACTTCTAGAAATTGATCACTTACATTATTTTAACCCCCAAAAAATGACATGTAACCGATTAGAAACATCTTAAAACAAAAGTACTTGTAACCCTTAAAAAGTAGATCAAAAAAAGAGATAGATAGCAGCCTAACAGGAGCAACAGTATGATAGTCGATATAAAGAACGGACAACAACGAGCTAGGCAACAAGTGGTGAAGGGGAGTGATACCTTTGTTTTCGAGGGGTTTAGAGGGCTTAAAGTTTGAAAACGGTAAAATTGATCTAGGTTTCCTTTTTTACTTTAAGACATTTCTAATTGGTTACAAATAGTTTTTTATGTTAAAATGATGTAGATAATCAATTTTTAAAGTTTGATGATTTATTTATTACAAAAACATGTATAATTTAATCGTTCAAAATGAGAAAGTCTAATAGTTTATAATTCAAAAAAATTGTATAGAGATTTGATCATTCAAAATGAAAAGGTTTAATGGTTTTTTCATTTACAAAAATAGTTTTGGAACTTAATCATTCAAAATGAAAACATTTAATGCTTTTTTCATACAAAAAAATAATTTTAAGACTTAATCATTCAAAATAAGATAGTTAATCTATTTTGGTCTCTACCAAAAACATCTTAAACAAGAAAAAATAATTATTTTTTCAAAAACGCTTTTTAATTTACTAATCATAATATTGAATTCTTTTCTTTTCACAAAGTTCTTTTAATTACATCAAAGTTATTTTAGTATATATATTTGATTAAATTTAGAATGTTTAAATAATAAAAATATTAAAATTAAAAGTATAATGTTGTAATAGAAAATTTGTGATGTTATAATAAAATAATCGGCGCCCCATAGTGTTGGCAGCCAAGCTGAAATATGAATTTGAGCTATTTTGTGTGAAAGCTTTTGGGTTATTGATCTCCAGCTGTATTTGTATTTGTATATGGTAATTCTTTTTTCTAGTGGATCAAGATATTCTAGGCTAATCCACTCTTCCTTGAAACTTGGAAATCGCCCTTTATTTAAACTGTAAAATGGATATGATATAAGGGAAGGATTGACCTGTTGGTTGACTTCTCAATTGAGAAAAGACTAGGCATAAAAAAAAGTAGGAATGGATAAATAACACATAAATCAAGGGCTATGTTTGAAAGTACAATGCTATAATAAGAAATATCATGTCAGCACTATCGTACATATGTACAGCCTACACAGACGATGAGATGACAAAGAAACTTGGTATAATGGGTAAATTTAATTTAAAAAGTTACCCAATGCTATAATAGGTAAATTTTTGAAAGTACGATCCCTTAATAAAAAAACATTTTGAATGCAAGAAAATCTAAAAATAAAATGCTATAATAAAAAAATTTATAAAAATAATTATTATTTCGCACATTTTACTCAAACTTATATTATTATAGAATAGATTTTATTTAAAATGTTTAACTTCTCTTTTAATCTTTTACGTGGAAAGGGAAAATAATATGTTTGATTTCAACATTAAATCTTAATATCTTCAACCAATTACATGACGAAATAAAGCGACACCAACATGAAGATAAAATTAATTAATAATTGTTCTTTTACTTTTAAAATAATATATTATATCCTTTTTCATATGAGATCTGATTCTCGACCACATCTTCATTTATAATTAACAGATAAATATAAAATCTTTTAAACGATAAATCGATGATTTTATTGCAGTCATTCCTAGTCATCATTGCTTTAAATGGTTGGGGTCAAAACTTTTTATGCATATAACTAAACCATTTATAACATGAAATTCAAATAATTACATATTGATTTCATATATATAACTTGTTACATTTATTACAATCAGATGATAAAATCATATGAAAACCCAAAATTTATATTAATAAATTGTATATGATCACCAAATATTTAAGTATGAAACAGTACGATTTATTCATACAAAAACACATTAAATAATGTTTTCATAATAAAACTCAGCTTATAATCATAAAAAGATAAAGATGGTAACAACAACAACAAATAATCTAGTTCAAAACACAAAATTAGACTCTTCTTCCTTCTTCGGTTTTTTTTCTTGGTCAAGCACAGAGAATGAGAGAATACACACAGAAGACTCTCCTTTTTTTTTTTTCTCTCTTCTAGAAACCCCAGTAACAAACAAATATCTTAATTAACTTGCATTAAAATATATGGGGCAATGGATAATTTAAAAATTTTAAACCAATTTTCAAAACACACCCCTTAACTTTTAAACCAAATTTAAAAACAACCTCAAACTTCCACCAACCAACAACCCGGTTATAACGACATGTATACATACAAGTTACGATTGTTAGTTAAATGATGATTTCAAATAATCATTATATATAATATTAATAAAAATATAGTTGGACAATTTCACATTTAGTTAATTAATATATATTTATAAAATGATAATTTTAAAAGTTGATTCCTCAAAATAGGAATTAGGTGAAAGTTGATTCCATTTTAATGCAATTTTCTCAAAAATATATATATCAAAGTTTTAATATTTAATTATGAAACAAAAAAACATAAAACTTTAACATTTATTAATTTACGAAAAAACATTTTAATTTTTTTTATATTTATTTTGTATGATTA